CCGCGGCATCGGCGCTAGTCGTGCTTGCCTGGGTCAGGCCGAATGGGTCCATGCCTCGCGGGGAGGATCCACGGACACCGGACGATGGGGTACCACCGCCCGCTTGGCTATCTGGGCGTGGGTTATCATCGGAGAAGGCACCGGGTGGGAAGAAGGCTGGGCTTTCGTTGCCGTACAGGGCGCGGTGCTGGCGGGCGAGGAGTTCGCGACGGCTGTCCTCGCTCACGGCAGCTGGGCTGGTGGAGCGGTCGGATTTGGATGCAGACATCTCGGCGAGGAGGCCTTGAAAGGAAGAAGAAAAGTATTAAAACCCTGTGTTCAAAGAAAAACGAAGAAGCCAAACCAAATATATTACACGGGCCGACGGATACATAGATGCAAGGAAGTGAAAAAAAAGAAAACGGGAAAAAAAAAGCCGACGGGGGAATATAACGAGGCTCAAAAAGAAGAAGACAGACGCTACCACGTACTTCGGTTGTACTGTTGCTCCTGGTGATAGTTGCGGAGTTCCCTCTCACGCTGTGCTGCCATCCGACGCTTCGCCTGCATCATCTGTTCCACCTCGTTGGGACGACCCTGGTATCGCTGGGAGGCATAGAAACCTTGGGCATTGCCAGACGGGGGCATGCGGTTGCCATCGAACTCGCTGATCGAATGGTGTCGCTGAGGGCCACCACCCATACGAGGGTCTGTCAAGAGACAAGTCAGAAACGCGTTCTGGGTGCCATCCGTGCCCGCAACATACCGTAGTCGGGGTAGGGCCGGCCCATCATCATGGGCATCGAATCCCGCCGAGGAGCATTCCACAGCTTCCCGCTCTTGACGAGATTGTCGATCGCACGATCAACCTCTGGAGAAAAAAAAAGAGATCAGCACTCGTCCCAAAAGGTTTCCAGCAAAAGTATGCCCATGTCATCTCCACAACCGCCTCGCTTCAAAATCATCAACTTTTCCTCCAAGCATTATGCGATTCGGTTTTCGGAGAAGCAATTGTAGAGATCCAAGCAGAAGTGTGTCCGTACCGTCAAATTGGGAGGAAAAGGCCGGGGTATCATCGCGTTGGGAGACCGAACTCGATCCTGTTTGTCAATGTTAGTTTTTGTTCCGGATGCTCGGCGTGTGATCCCATACCTGACCGGGAGGGAGGCGCCGGCTGCTCCCAAGAGACCTGGCGCGCAGCGGGTGCTTGCCAGCCCTGAGGTTCGTAGTACGAAGACATTGTCGAGATCAAAAGGACCGAAAGTGCGACGGTTCAGGGGGGAGATGATCCGGTCAGAGGCGATCTGTCGAGAAAAAAAATGTGAGCGTCGATCCACAACACACACTTTTTGAACGGTTCTCCAGATCTTCTTTCAACACATCAAAAGAAAGTATCGAAATTTGAGAATCACAAAAAAAAATTATCTTGGTCTCGGTAAACCCCCAGGGTGTATTTTCCGCGGTCTTTCAACTGTTTTTCAATGGGGTATATGGGGTATAGAATTTTTTTTCCATCCAATTGGAAGAAACAATATAATCAAGGCACTTACGGGGAAAAGGCCTCCGAGTATTTCTTTCTACCACGAGTCAACGAGGCAGAAAAAGTCCAAAGATTGGAAGGATGAAGAGAAGAAAAGGAGAGAGAGGGTCCTATGGGGGGGGTGGGATGTGGGTGTGTATTACCTTATGGAGAGAGGGGGGTTTTCATAAATTGTAATGTAAAAGAGTAAAATAGTACATAGAGTATACGAGAAAAAAAGGAGATTCTTTTTCTTTTTTTTTCTTTTTTAAAGTAGGACAACACATAATATTGATATTATTAAAATACTTAACCTAGCTTCTTCTCTATTAGTCGTGTTTTGGGGTTTATATTGCATGGACTATATATATACCCAAATCTCTCATTCTACTAAACATCTAAAATCAACCTATTTGTCATTCAATGCTTTCGTTTAATACCAATTCTCTCTTTTCCTGTACCTCGAAGATCCCAAGTACGCGGCAATTCCCGGCAACCCAAGGGCTTCTATTCGTCACTGATGGGGCCGGTCACCGGAGATTGGACGGGGACACGGGGGTGTGTGTCTAAGCGTCGAGCTTCCCTCGTGTCTGATAGTTACGATTACTTATTATTCAACTATTATTGTCTCTATACCTCGTACCACTTTTATACTGGATGCTACTATCCCGAGTGTATTATACTTTACATCTAATGTTCAAATCTTGGAAACTGGGTTCCCCACTCAAAACGGCGGACATTGACATTGTGTTGCCCTGATGTTGTATACCCTAGTACTTCCGTATACTCGATTTCGGTACTTCGTACAATATTCAAACATTCCAGGTCTCTATGATCTGAATTCTAAGATATACTTCACAATATAACCCGATCTAAGCAAGGGATTCCCCGAGGTCAACGTATGATGATGCCAACCTGGGAAACTGCAAAGGCTCTGTACTATGCAGTCAGCTTGCCAAGAGGCTGCCTGTGGACGCCATCGGAGGCTGCAAGACAAGTGAACACTCTAGTCGCATCTGGAATGTGATCTGCAGCTCCATGTATAGTGGTCGGTACAAACGCATGCAATAAGTATATATAGCCCGCTGTAGCCTGCTCAAAACATACAACATAGCCTGGTATACATCAGGTTCCAGCAAGCCCCTGTAAAAGTCGCATTAGCAAGTAGACTTGGAAGTATACCCTCATGTGGAAGTAGACGCAATGCAATAGTACCATTGCTGCTTCCAGAATACACTTTCAACGGTGCTTTGACCAACTCGGTCAATTCAGGAGAGGTGGGGCAACGTCCGTCGGCCATCATTTTATATTCTTCCGCAAGGTCCGCGCCCCTCTGAACTGGATTGGCCACTGCAATATGCAGTATGTACTCACCCGGCTCGATAGGCTAGTCAGCAGCCCAAGGCCTCCCCCGCATGTACATGAGACTACTATTTCGATAGGTGTGATCGAACTGAATCAACTCCATGACTGGATATGGGAGGCACCGAGGTACTCAGATATATAGAGTAGAGGGGTTTTGTTTCCAGAGTTCACTCCATCATCAGCACCCCCAAACTTTGCCCTGCTGCCGGTCTATGTCGATCTAGCGGAAAGATACTCCGTACAGTACCAACATTTCCCCTCAAACCCTCCGGAAATGTGCCACTGGCACGATACGCTCAAGCATGCCTCCGCGTTACCCTGGGAGCGTAATAACTCCCCACTCGTCATACATGGGACTGTACTTGGCCGAATTTGGTCTTACTCATACTAGTCTGATGCTTGATTGTACGGGGGCAAGGCCATGTTGTAAGTGACAAGCCATAGCCGTCTTGATAACTATTCAACGTAGTCTTTACTAACTAATAAAAAGTACCGAGTGTTTGTTTACTTATCTATGTTGTACTCGTTTACAAAGAAACACGCCAAAACAAGCCCCATATTCCCGATGTAGCGACCAAGGCCCTAATAAACAAAGGCTACCAGCTCACCACTGACACCTCAGTTAACCCTAGAGACAACTAGTCCAATGGTCATTATCTCCCAAGGTTCATTCTCTCAAGCCTCATCGGATCCGAGAAGCCACTATTGGGATTTCGAAGCATGGGTCCAATGGTGGTCCATGTTTGAAACAAAGAAGTAAAACATAGTATGAGTGTGCTCGAGTTACCGGGGGATTTATCGTCAACAGAATGGATTTCTCCTAGATTCTTTGAAAGGAGAGACAGCAGATCTATATCATATGTATGCCTCAGGCCAATGACATGGATTAGGTTATACTAGTGAGCAACACGTGCAAGGACCGTGCTGATCGCGGGGAGAAGTGAAGAACGACGATCAGGAGGCAAAAGGGGAATGCAACGTATGGATCATATAAGGCTTTTCTTAGGAATTGATATGTTCATTCTATAGCCAGTAGCCGAAGGGGTTCAACGGTCAAGACTCCCTAGGTCTGTTATCGATAGTCTGTCGTCATGGTACCTGCATGAATGCATAGCTCGGTGATACTGCGGGCAACTCTGGCAGCATTTTGGCGTTCTGGCTTCAGAATTTCAGGTTTCTAGGGCCAGTGAGAAAAAAAGGAATAAAGAGTAATGAGAAAGGGATAAGCGAGAGATCATATATGAGACAAAGGACAGAAGTCAGCCCCTAATTGTTGCACTTAGAAATGAGGGTAGAGAGCTATTCCCCAATAGTCTGTCTCACTCCGTGGGCTACTACATCTAACGGCGTTGGAACGTTAATTTCCCACTCAACGCATCTCTTTGAACCTCCCAAATACTTATTCTGGGTGTATTCGTCCGATTGCTCTTCGACTTATATACATAAAATCGTTGACGTTGGGAAGATTGGAGTTCTTCAAGAGGGGAACGGTCGGCAAGTGTCTCTTTACCGCCGACAGGGGCTGACCTCCAGGGCTTCGATCATCTTCACAACTTCTCAAATTCCCCTCTCTGACTACGCTTCCTTTTCCTCAACAATCGGAAACCCAGGCTGGTTCCTACAAACTCACTGAAACCGACAAACTGTATGGTTCATCCAGTACTTAGGTCCTTTTTTGTCTCTTTTCTTTGATCCAATCCTCGAACCGTTCGCTCTCTTCTCCCTCACGAAGACCGTTTTTTTTTTTTTTTTTTACTATTTTCTTTTCGTGTTTTATTTTCATCTCCTGGTTGAGGCATTGTCTTTTTACATCCCTTCAATTCTTATCGGTCCCGAGTGAAAGAAAAAAAAACGGGCTTTTCGCGACTTTGGTCGAGGGCGATTGCAAAGTCTCCCACCACAAACGATCTGCTTCCCGGTGGTCTCACACATATCAACGAACCCTTGACGTGTTACACACGTGCCATTACCTCCCTCGCTCCGATTTATCGAGTACAAAAATTCTCCGGTGATTTCCAACGGAGAGGAAACTGAGGGGATTATATTGTGTGGTGTGTGGGAGTGGACTCTTATCTCTTTTGCCGAGCCTCCCCCCATACAGAAGGACCACAACGGTGTGGGAGTTGCGAATTGCTATATGGTCGCAAAAATCGATGGGAATGCGAAGTGTTCCCTCCACCGTGACGTCGCCTCGCTAGCGTCGGCGCAGTCCTCCACGATGGCATGGAGGCCTCAATCCGATGTGCCACAATCCGATGTGCCCGAGACCGCCGCTCGGCCTCCGTTGACTTCGCACCAGTCCAATTCCCTTCCCTCCACCCCCTACCAACATGCGCGCAACCTATCGTTCCACTCCCGGTCACCGTCCCCCGCCCGCGGAAGCACCTCCCCTCGATCCACCCACTCCGAGGCCACACATCTACCTCCCTTCTCCCGGAAACCGCTCGGAGGATGTAAATATGAGACCGCGATGGCATATTTTCGACGACGGATACCGTATAGTCTAGGAGCAGATATACTACCAGAGGAGAAAGGGGCATTGAAGGAGCAGCTCAGCCCGGACGAGGAGAAAAAATTGTCGACCGAGATCATGGATCTGTATGATCGATTATTACCATCTGCCGAGAGTGATGATCGACGCCGACAACTTGTTCGGAAATTGGAGAAGCTCTTTAATGACCAATGGCCGGGTCATAATATCAAGGCGAACATTTTTGGCTCATCAGGGAATAAGCTCTGTTCCAGTGACTCAGATGGTAGGTTTTTCTCTTTGGACCAGAGGGATGAAAAGGCAAAGCAAGTGCTAACTTGAGCAGTGGACATTTGCATCACGACCAACTACAAGGAATTGGAGCATGTGTGTCTGTTGGCTGAGGTGTTAGCTAAACGTAAGAAATGACCGTTGGTATAACTTGATCGGATGATAGACTGACCTGAACAGACGGGATGCAACGGGTGGTGTGTGTGTCGCACGCAAAGGTCCCCATCGTGAAGATTTGGGACCCGGAACTCCGGTTAGCTTGTGACATGAATGTCAATAACACCTTGGCGCTAGAAAACACTCGAATGATTCGGACCTACGTCGAGGTGGATGAAAGAGTGCGGCCTTTGGCAATGGCTATCAAGCACTGGACGAAGCAAAGGATTCTCAACGATGCCGCGCTTGGAGGAACCCTTAGTTCTTATACCTGGATCTGTTTGATCATTAATTTCCTGCAGACAAGAAACCCTCCAATTCTCCCAAGTCTGCAAGCACGTCCACACAAGAAAAGGATGACCCATGATGGATTGGTCTGCTCGTTTGATGACGACCTCAAGACCTTGTCTCAATTTGGCCGCAAGAACAAGCAATCAGTTGGCGAGTTGCTATTTCAATTTTTCCGGTATTATGGCTACGAATTTGACTATGAGAAGAACGTCATCTCAGTACGGGACGGCACCCTGATCAACAAAGAGGCCAAGGGCTGGCACCTGATGTTGAATAACCGACTGTGCGTGGAGGAGCCATTCAACACGTCAAGAAACCTAGGCAACACCGCCGATGACACTTCATTCCGGGGATTACATCTGGAATTGCGAAGGGCTTTCAAGTATATTGCAAACGGTGATCTAGAAGGATGCTGTGAGCAGTTTGAATTCCCGGCAGAAGAGGAACGGACCTGGGAACGACCACCACCTCAACCGCGGCCAACTCTCACACCTTCCCTCCCATCACGGGGTGGACGGGGAGGAAACCGCGGCGGCAGATATAATAATCAGTTCTCGCGAGGTGGGCTCGGTGGCGGGCGACGACAATCAAACACTGGAAACAAGTCGAACTTCCGGCAGTCGAATACTGGCAATACATCAGATATCTCCCTGCAGGCACAACAGCAAGCCCAGTATCTTCTGCATGACCAGTTATACCAACAAATCCAGCTTTTGCAGGCGCAGGAGCAGGAATTGCGGATGCAATTGCATAACCAGGCATTGATCACTGGAAGACCACCGCCGGTATTTATCCGTCAGCCATTTATCCAATTCCCGGTTCCTCAACAGCAAGAGTTTCCAGAGGAAACCTCACAACCGAGATCAGGAACAGGAACAGCAACCCATGCTACTCTCAGCCCAACTCAACGACAGCAAACCATTTATAACCCAACTTATGCTTCAGTTGGTGCATCTGGCTCGCAAGCGACCATCACCAACCCCCCTCGCCGTCTGCTGTTAGCGTTATGCCTGATACTCGTCGTAACTCTCGGCGATTGTCGGCTGCCAACGGATCCCCGAAGTCTCTTCGTGCGCACTCACAACCTGCACGACCTCAGGGCTCGCCCTCTCTTCCCAGCTATATTCCCCTTTATACCATACCGCCACCTACGGAGAACTGGCCAAAACAAAGGCTGGCTACCGAGTCGTCGGAAGGCGGAGAAGGCAGTGGTGACGAGAATGTAATGCGCTCGAACAGTTTGGCCAGCAATGGATCCCGCTCAAACTCTGTGGACGACAACCGACAGCAAGATGTGTTAGGTTATTATATAACTCCCCAACAACTTCAAGCCTTCCAGCAAGGTTCTATGCTGCCGCCATTGTCCGCACAGATGGGCCTAGTCTCGAATGGATATTCGTTTATTCCCCTTCAGCCAGATTATCGACCGGGATCATTCTCATCAGAAACGGCTCGCTCGGAGCACACTCCAACTTCCAAGCCCCCGTCGCAACCAGCCCAATCCGCTCCACGCCCAGTTGCACCCGGTCCGTTGATCGTTGATGGATCGGTGCGTCCGAGCGAGAACCGCTCGGCATATGCGCCTGAGTTGATCGACCCCTACTCTGCGATAAGCCACTATACGTCGTCGGATGATCACAACATGAACACACCTGCGAGTTTCTCCGATTCCTTGTCTCAAGATTACCAGGATTCCGGGTCCTTTGACCTTGAGCACTCGGCCGTCTTCACTCGGCCCTCTACGGAAACACAAAAGGTCAATGGTGTAAGCGGGGAAAAGCAGCCAGACACGAATGGCCAAACTGAGCTTCTCGCCAGTCGGCTGCAGAACTACCACCTATCGAATTCCGAGAAGCTGGTACAGCAACCCGCGAAGACAAGTCCGGATCGACCAAGAAATGGCATAGCACAAGGACCAGGAAAGGAAGTCGGCCAGTCCAAGAATTCAGGACAGTTGAGTGAGAAACCTGCTGCATCTGGACCGAATGAGAATCGGCATCAGTCGATGAACTCGAAGCGCCGGACTAACGGAGACCATTCCGACAAGACGAACGGTGTCAATGGCAAGAGCAAGCCCAAAGGCCAAGGCCGACACGACAGCTCTCACAACGCCGCCTCGGGCACCAAGGATCGACACTCAGACCCGTCCCGAAGATCAGGCGGACAGTCTAACGGCACGAACGACAGCAACCATGGATGGCAGACGACCAAAAAGAAAAACCGCAAGAACACCAAGTCGTCAATGGAGTCTCGAAATGGCATTAACGGCGGTCATGAGCTCGTTCCAGCGGATGATTCTTTGCGAAAAGGCGGGTGACCCAGTGTGATATGGTTTCGCTTTCAACCCATCTACAACATACGAGGAATACTCACGTCTCCAACCTGATTTCATTGCCTTGAAAATCCCGCCCACGCGGTAACCCCAAACGAACTCACGTTCCCCCGAAATACATTGTTTTGCTCTTTGTTTTTTTCTTTTTATTTCCCCTTTTCCCTAGTGGGGGATTTGGGTCCATATATGCATGCATTCGTTGCCATCAGGAAAGTTGGCCGGTTCATTTTCCAGGAAACGCCTCCCATGCATTGAGACGATTTCTTTCCAGTTGTTTGGAGTTCTTTGTTTCAAATGGTTAGAGCCGGTTTTGTGTCTGATGCTTCTCATCTTTCTTATGCCCAATTTTTTTTTTCTCTTTTTTTTTCGGTCCTGGTTCTGTACAAAAGAGAAAAGATATTAACTTGTTGCCAAATGAGAAACAAACCAAAATTTTCGAAAAAGTGTTCCTTTTCCTCCTCTGATACTTCCTGGATTGCGTTGTCTTTCTTAGCTGTCAGTTAACAGAGAGTGTCTATACTAAATGCGAGACCAGACTTCAAATAACAAAGACAGAGAACAAAGGGAACGAAACCGTCCAAGTTCTCAAATCCGTCTTCTCTCCCTCTCTCTTTTCATCGTCATCATCCTTATCCTCTCCCATCTGCCTAAACCCACCAAGAACTCCCCGTCCAAAGCAACCCGACGTTATCAGTCCACAAGAAACCACAAACCCACAAGTTCCCGCAAAGAATCCAACATACATACAACCATCTGGACAGAATACACATACATACCAAAAAAGGGTGTATCCCAACATTGAATCCCAAATCTCCCAATCTCCCTAAAAATGGGAAACGAAGAGGAAGAAGGAAAGATGTGGATGATAATCCTTCCATTCATGATGTATTTGTATTATTGCTTTTTCTTCGCCTACGGTGTAATCAGCGAGACCTGGTCTAGCATCTCTTTCGTGCATAATTACGCCATTCGATCACTCGGTGCCGTCATGTCTCTTTTTTCTCTGAATTGGAATTGGTCGAGCTCGAATTTCCACTTTTCCGCGTTTGGTGGCTTGCCTTGGCTAGCTCGTGTGACTGCCCCAATGCCCATTGCGCCTAATTTCTTTGCGTTTTCCTTTACTTTTGTTCTTGGGGTGTTGGCTTATCAGCTTTGTGTTGATTTATCTTGAGGGTTTTGCTTTTTTGGTTCTTTGTCTCTATGGTGCATGTGTATTGGAAGTAAGAAGGGGGGGTACGTTTTGAGCTACGGAGGATGTCAAATCAGATGTGATGGGAGTTGATGGGAGTTGATTGCCTTTATTTTGGTTTCTGTTTATGTAGCATTGGCGGAGGGAAAGCGTTGATTCTGGGAATGTCAAGAGGTTACATATAGAAAAGTCCTCTTCATATACATCTAAAAAGAACATGTAAAAGACATGACAAGGCCGCATAAGTGGCCGATTATTCTTGTTCGAAATATATTGACATTGCATCATTTATCATTGAGATAATAGTATGGCATATAGCAGAGTATATATAGTACATTGCATCTATAACACAGATCTTGCAGTGTATCAGATGCAGTGGGAGAATGCTGGACAAGATTAAATCACATAATGGCGTAGGGAAGACAAAAACAGGTCAAAGATGGGATATTAAAACAGAAAGATTTGGGTAGAATCGGCAAATATGTCCAGCAGGGAGAGAATGGAAAATGATATGCTGGGATTCTCCATTACCGTTTTTTGGGAGAGAAATTAGAGCACCAATTAATGATCTCAAGCCAAATCAGTACCAGATCTCGGTCCAGATGTATGGCAGAATCACGATAGAGGCCGTGTACAATATCATGAAGGCGTAGTATGGGGCTAGGATCAGCTTGATCAGAGGGGTATCACAGATAAGAACCCAGATGGAGAGGAAGGCGACGGAGAAGAAGTGGCTGACGAGGACGAGGGGTTTCTTGATCAGACCGGCCAACAGCCCAACGGGGCCGCCAACTGGTCCAATCTGGAAGTAGCGGAAACAGCCACGCTGAAGAGCTTTGAGGTATTGGTCTATAGATAAACAGTTAGTTACTGGGAATCAACCAAAGAGTGAGTGTACATACTGTCTGCAGCGAAGATCGCATAGAGAGCCTGTGCAAGAATATTGATGACCGAGGACGAACTCTTTCGCCTCCAGTGGAATTCCGCAAGTTGTTCGAGAACAAGGCCGGTGTTGGAGAGGCTGGGAACACGCTCCGGGCTAAGCAATTCGCGGATGACACAGACATCGTTGAGCGCCACCGTCATGCCTCCACCTGTGAGAGGGTGTCGCATATTGAGCGCATCGCCCAGAATCATCAGGCCGGGTGTCGTGTTGGCCGAGGCAGGCAGGAACGAGTTTGGCATTGATCGTAGCTGGCCCTGCTCCAGCGCATCGGAAAACGACTTCTGGGCACCCTCTGGGAGCTGGGGCAGGATGCTGTTTCGCATATAGCCCTTGACACCGCCATTCTTCACCGAGGCTTGAGGTAGGTTATCGGGGATATCGATAAGGATTCGGGTCTCGTGGGTGCCGATCTGGTACATGAGCACGGGTGGGTTATCGCTGAGGAGGACATGACCAGTGTTGGGCGCGGGGAGTTTAGCGTCGATGAGTTCCAAGCCATAGAACTTTGATTTCCGCTTGGGTGTGTACTGGTGGTGTTGCTTGCGGAATTCCGAGTTGTAGCCGTCGGCGGCTACGGTGAGCTGGCCGAAGTAGCAATCCTTGACATCCTTGGTGATACACTCGACTCCAAGGACTTCTTGGGTATATGACGATATGACAAGGCCAGTCACCTTGGTTTCAACCACTGTGACATTGGGACAAGACAGAGCGGCTGCTCGTAGTTTCATCACGAATCGACCATGGTGGAAGGCTCGTCCCAACGGTGTAGGTGCGGTTGGGCTGGACTTGGGGTATTCGAGGAGAACCGGCTCGCCAAAGTAAGAAACCCAGTATCCCTTCACATCGATGCCATCAATATCTTCCAGACAGTCCCGTAGCCCTAGTTGCTCGAGCGCCTGAACACCTCCCGGTTGGAGTAGTTCACCAACAATGCGGTTGGGCTCCTCCAACGATTTTTCCAGCAGAATCACACTGCGTCCTTGCTTTCCCAGTGCAACTGCAAGCGCACAGCCTAGGACTCCGGCACCCACGATTACAACATCAGCTTCGTGGTGGTCGATGCGGCGTTGAGCGGCCACGGAGAGGGCGGCGTCGCCATTCAGAACGGAGGCCATTTTTGGTTATAATAGAGTAGATATTGTCAGAACGGGGACGACTGAGGCAGGACCATTATCGGCCTGAGCAATTGATTTAAATGAAAGTCGATTGGCTTGTGTTTATGGGCTGATGTTTTTTTTGGGCCTTGGATAGAAAGGGGTGGCGTGACATGTGAAAGGACCACCTCTCTCCGCCTTCCCAATTCTACGCAGAAGGGGACATCACGCTGTTATCTCCCAGTGGACTGATATGGATATACAACAACCGTGGAATGTACAGGGGTATATGGATACTTACGGATATTTATAGATATTGATGAATTTATTGATGAATCTACTGAACATGGTTATTGTACATGGTCCTATTTACATTATTATACATATTCACTGAGACGCCCGGTGCCCCTGATAATCCTCATACTCCATATACTCCTCGTATTCCCCTCCAGGTGAAAACTCGAGGTGATAGTCGGACGAGTACTTCTCAGGGACATAAGGTCGACCCCAATTCGCTGGGTTGTTCCACGGATATTCGGGATCTTCCGAAGGAACGGTGTGTGATTTTGAAACATTGGCCTCAGCCCACCACTTTGCATGATCAGGGGCGTCGAACTGCTTGCGCCTGAGCAACATATCCAGCTCCCGCTCTTCATCAAAGTTCATGATGAGTTCCCCTAGGTCTGTGGTGGGCAGTAGATGCTGTTGCTCGGTAGGTTTGAATGCCTTGGAACGGTTCAACCGTTTTAACTCAGGGTGACCATGGATGGCTGACCAATGCGAATCACCTTCAAATTTGGCCTCCAGTGCCCCCACGATTTGCCGTAGTACCAACACTTGCCCCGCGGCATCGTAGGAGCCAGAGGATTTGATCGCATTTTCTAACGAGCCCAGCTGAGAGGTGGCTTCCACCACAAAGTCTTGATTGATAGGCTCATTCCGCGAGAGGACTGTCATGATGCACCACCAGACCCCCTTGAAGTTATGGACCTTGGCAAATCCACGTAACAGCATCTTCAATAGTACCTGGTCGAAGCCATGAGAGAGCCGCCATCGAGATTGGTAGATTGTTGTGAGGAGATCGATGGCAATTTCTGGCGTTCCACCGCCAATAAGGTAACGGCTAGAAGAAGTTGCACAGAAATGCTTCACCAAAAGGCCATTGGTGTTGGCACAAACATCATAATATTCAAAAACGGCCATCTTGATCAAGCCTCCATACCCAATGGCTTCTGGGTCCACCTCCATGACCCGTTGGAAGAAGATGGGAATCCACGAAGTGAAACGCTTGCTATAGCGGAGAGCAGGAGCATTCTTCCAGTAATCCCATTCGGATGTAATCAGACGTCGCGCGTTCGCCAAGCCTGTCTTTTTGCAACTGAGAATTGCGGCGATTACAGCCAGCTTCAGATGAAGTGGTCTGACAATGTAACCGCCCGTGGTTGCGTGATGGTAAATTGCCAGAGCATCAGTGTGCTTGCCCATATTAATAAAGTGCTCCATCCGCTTGTGGAGCGGAACGTACAAACTGGTAGTTTTGGCGGCCACCATCTCGCTCACTGTTTGAGAGAAAGATTCCTCGGCAGGAATGTGGATCGGGGCAATCTTTTCACCTCGTACTGCCCAAGTATCAGAACTAGACCCAAGAATGCGCCTGGAAGAAGTTAAATGATCTTGTCGATTCTTCGCGGCTTGCTTCAACCGCCAGATTCCCACAGGGTTGTCGGTCATTGCGAGTTTCCGGCTCTTCAAGAGCGAGTTGATAAACCGACCGTCAATACCAGTATTCCAATTCTGATCGTGGGCCATATCCATAATGGTTGTAATCATATCTTCGTTGCCCTTTTCAATGATCGCTTCGAGGATGTGTCGGTGGAGTACTTTGTCGGGTTGTATGTCAAAATCATTGATACAAGAGATGAGGAAGTCGAGAATTTCCTGGCCAGTGTGGGTGGGATAGTATTCCAAGAAGACACGGTCGAAAATCATAGTGAAATCCTTCTTTGACTGGGTGTATCCGTGTTCGTGCATAGCATGCATGCCATCCATGACCCTGTCCCACTCACAGGTAAGTGCTCTGTTGTAGATAATCAAGCCAATGGTCCGGCATCCAGGCTCGGTCCCATAACGTGTTGACATCGCCTTGACCATAGCTTCAGCTTCTTCAGCTCGGCCAGTTTCAACCATGGCCTTGACCATGGGGTTAAAGAGTTTCTCAGTTGGTTTCCGATCGAGTGATTCCAGACGTTTGAGGATGAAGCCGAGTTGGGAAGACAGCAATTCCATGCTCCTGGTCTTCCTCCATAATCCATCAAGATAAGCACCACACAGACCACAGTCACGGTCATCCTCGAAGCGCTGGAAGAATAGGAACTTGGCGGAGTCCAACCGTTTGGACTCGATCAGACATCGGAGGACGACCTCCAACAGATGCTTTGGAACAGCAAAACTCGTGCTGAATCTATCATATATAACGCCGACAGAGTCAATGTGGCCCTCTTTCGCAAGGAGATGCATCAGTGTAGCCCACATCTCCCCTGACACGACACTGACTTTGTCCAGGCGATTGAACAAAGTCCGAGCAACGAACAAGTTTCCTTTGATGCAGTTGGCAGTGAATATAATACATGCAAGCTCTCTGCGTTCCCAAGAAATGCTAGGTGTCTGCCGAGTGTGGGCTAAGAACAAATTCGCAGCTGTGATTTCCCGCTCTTGACTCAACAACCTGCGGATTTCGGCATCGAAGGGCAGCTTGCCGGATTCTCGTGCGAGTTCGCCCTGATGTTTCTCACGAGCCAGAATTTCAGCATTTTGGGCCAAGCTTGGAGAATCGATGTTTCCCGTGTATTTGGATTGTGTAATTGGATGGCTTTCAAAGAGCGAACGCTTTGAGCGAGCATGATGTTTTTCCAAGCTGACTAGGGGTTTGGGTTTCGCCTTTAGACCATCCTTTTCTGTCTCGAGCCCTGGCTCATCTGGCCCGTCAGGTAGGTTCCGATTCCTCGCCTTGAGGGATTCAATGCCCATAAAATCGCCCGCCTCCGCCGCCTCAACCATCACCTTGAGTCGTTTGGCAGCAGATGTTGCATCATAATTTGGGGCGGTACTGTGTAATGTTCGTTTGTTCTCGATGATTTTCTCGGCGATGCGGACCCGGCGATGAGCTTCGTACGTGAGGGCTGCGACAGTGCAGAATCCGCCAACTGTTGAGCCGGCCAGAGCCAATTGGCGGAGCACTCGGAGGGCATTTGGAGAGGGTATTAGTGAGCCGGATTTTGCGGCGCGGGCGAGCATGTTGCAGATGCTGAGCGCGGGTTACGCGCGAGTTCACCAGTCGTGCATGAGCAGCTTCACACCGATGTTCCGAAATGAGGAGACAATTGACTCAAATGAAACGTAAATAGCTCCAACCACCAGCTATGATCCAAGGTTAGGTGTACAGACAATTGAAGCTGAGGGCGTAGGGTAAGTTCGGAGCAACTTCTTTTTTCCCGATGCAAATCAACTTGCGCGTTAGGCCTGTGCCGCCCGCCGGAGCCTGACCCGGTCATACGACTCATGGATCTAACCGGATACATCTTCCTTTTGTCATTTTACAAAACATCGGAATCTCGGAAAATAGGCCTGAAAATAAAACCCAAGCTACATTTCAAAGGAACTCGAGCTGTCCATAAAATATTCTACGGCTACCCCAGAACTATCAAGATGATTCATGTATCTCTCCAATAGCTCTATAGTCTTCTGTTTCTAGCATGCATCAAGCATCTTCATAACTAAATATCCAACAGCTACATAGGTATCAATAGTGGGTTCTCCAAAGTAGGAGGTAAAAACAAAAGCAAAAACGACGATAGAGAAGCTGACATATAATATATGGAAGTAAGTGCAGCATATTATTCCAAAGAACCGCCCGTGGCTCCATCATAGCAAAAGCTGGTCATGCTCATCTGCATCTTCTTCCGCTCCTATATCGACAGGAGGTCCACTCTCTAGAGTAACTAGCATAGCAATTAGTATACTTCTTGTAGGAGCTGAGCAAAATAAACATACCATGCGACCTGATTAGCAGACTCATGAGGAATGCCACACCAAAAACAGCTGCAAGTGCCACAAACACTGTCTGAGGTAGTGTTGCAACAGTCAGACTGTAGATTAAATTAAAGACGGTAGGTGCAACAACTCGAGCAAGAGCATGTAAAAGACCAGTGGCACCGAGCATCTGTCCAATGCGTTCATGAGGCACATGTTTGGTCAGGGATGACTGCAGGATTGCAGATCCCATGCCACCTAGCGAGGCGACGACACCAGACATTATCATGACCGATGGCGTTTTGGACAGAGCATAGCCAACGTAGCCTAGTATATCGAATATTATAGATGTGCGGATTAGAACAATGTCCAGCATGTCCGAGCCGCGAATGGTTCCATCCTCCACGCACGGAGTTCGGAAGAACATGGAGATAAGCGGAAGCACCAGGAAAAGATTGACCACTCGCACCACATTGATGATCGCTACAAACAGACTGGACTCCACGCTTCCCCAGTTGAACATGTACCCGGCATAGATGATGATGACCTGCACTGTTCCCATGGCAACTCCAAAGACAGCGGTATCGATAGCAGCCAACAGCATGATGTTCCGGCGTAGAGCCGGACTGGCACCATGTCGGTTAGGGAACAAGACGCTTGGTTTTCCAACGGCGGGCATCAGAATTGCAAGCGGAGTGATCAGGTTCATTGGGTTCCAGACACGCCAAGAGTACCATTTAGGAGAGTCAGCATCCACACTTTTGATGCGATGCTTCTCGCGGGCCGCGAGCTGCCGGTCCTTGGACAAAGATTCAGGCACGATGAAGAAAATCGATAGACAGAAAGTTGCATGGAATGCAAGCGCAATGTAGAAGACAATTAACGTGCCTCCATGCTTGATCAAAAATGCCGCGCCGCCAGGTCCAGCTGCAATCCCGAAAAACAGAGCACCGTGGAACAAACCAAATGCCACGCTTCGCTTTTCGGGTGGCGTGCAATCAGAAGCATACGAATGGATTAACGCCTGTGCGGTTGTAAATGATCCACCCAGTCCATCCATGACTGCTCCAAGCAGAAGCATATTGACTGAGACCCGATCTGGCCATTTAGCCACAATGACAGTGATAATCTCATTGAGTACCGCGCCCATCGCGCCCAGCGCGATCATCTTGGTTCTCCCGTGACGATCAGATAAGTGTCCGAACCGGGGACTCACTAATGCTGATAGGATACCGGCAATAAGATTGAGATAGAGCTGGAACTGGGCAACCAGCGACTGAATTTGTGGGATCTGGCACTGGGGGTTGTTCTCTCCAAATATGACAGGCAGATAGGTGAACCCGGGGTCTTGGGTGGTCTTCTCGGCGAGATAATCTCGACAGATCAGCGACATGATCAAATTGATCTTGGGCACAGCCATCCCACCAAAGCCCAGGGTAAAAAGGAGCCCAAATGGGAGCAGCCACCAAATCTGTCATGTTTGTACGTTAGACAGTTGTTCCTGGAGCATTTGCTGCAACCCCCATAGTCACTCACGCTCGCTCTCCTCCATTTCGGCCGATTATCTGTAACGTGGGGATGTTGTCGGTACAATAGCCCATCGGCTTCATCGATTAGAGGCGTGTTTTCATTCACATCTTCAGGTCGAGTCTCCCGGGCGCTCATCGGAGCAACATCGGGCTCCCCCGCAAAGAGTTCTTCGTTCTCCATGATGGAGTTGGTGACATTGAGGGTGTTTCCAGGATTTTGCAAGATTACTGCATAATTGATTTGTAATATTCCAAGCACCGACACTTCATTCTCATATGAAAGAGGGGGGAATGTTAGCGGGTAGGATTGCTTGAATCGTTATCGGGATTTCATCATTGGCAGTCGTTAGCTCCGGAATCTCCGCTCTTAGGTGCTTGGGTACATTAAGGTGTCATTCTGACGGTTTATCCTTCTCTACATATCGTGCCCTGTCATCTTGTATACAATTGAAGAGATATTATATAGTACATTAACCCCGGAATTTTATACTTTTACAACGCCTCCAACACCCCCTGGTGCCGTATACACATACATCCAAGGCCGAAAGCTCGTACTCCGAGCCAAAAAGGAAAAACAAGCTTATACTACCATAGACGCATGTTCTTGGCCTGCAAAGAATTTCTTCTGGCCCAAGCACCGCTCGCTAGTGCAGCCCTGGCAACGCAGTGTCATCTGGCGCGAGCACAATTCTCCCTTTTGCAAGTGGTCGCGAGCAATATCGGCAAGTGCCTGGATGAAGACCGGGCTTCCGTTCAAGCTCTCTGCGCGCTTGACACCCGGGTTGTTGGCTTCATGAATAACTTCCTGATCCAGCTCGTAGAGTGTCTCAATGTGGTCACTTGTAAACGCAATGGGAACCAGGATCAAGTCTGTCTGTCCTCGTTTCACATATTCTTGAACAGTATCGCTGGTCTGAGCCCCGAGCCATGCACTAGGTCCCACCTGGGATTGCCAGCACAGGCGGTAGGGGTTTTTGAACTTGAGTCGTTGCATTACGGCGTGAACTGTCGCTGCAACTTCGGCGGGGTAGGGGTCGCCTGTGTGAGAGGATAATTAGTGTAATTCTAGTAAGTGACCAGGGGACATCAGCCTACCTCGGTTAACAACGCTCATGGGCAAGCTGTGGGCCGAAAAGAGCAACACGACCTGGTCTCGCTTCTCCTCTGGGTACGTTTTAAGTTGAGCCTCGATATTTTGTGCGAAAGCCTCCACAAGACCAGGGTGAGAGGGCCAGCGGTCGATGACACTCCACTGAATTGCGCCAGCTGGCTCAGATCCTCCATTTGCGCGCTTTCCCTCAAGACGATTACGCCACTTCCACAGTTCGTTAAGGGAACTGCCGGTCGTTGAACAGGAGTACTGGGGGTATTGTGTAAATGCGACAGCACGTCCTCCCTTGCCATTACCAAATCCATCGGCGAAAAGCTGCTCATACATGGTCTCGGTCAATGGGGCAGCGTAGCGGAAGGCAACGTAAGGTTTATGCGGCGCGGTCTCCGGGGAGATCTTATCCAACAGCTTGCACATTTCTGCGCACTGGTACTCGGACCATTTCCGAATGGGCGATCCGCCGCCGATATCCGCGTACTGCTTTTGGATTTTCGAGGTTCTGCGGCGTGCGATGAGGGGGCCGATATACGATTGGAGCCGTCCTAGGGGAATCAAATCACCGTCGGCCTGTAATCCAACGCATTAGCCTATCAATTCAATGTGACCATTGTGGTAATTCATGACACGTACAAATAGTCTGCTCAAAAAGTCCTCCACCTCGCTCGTTGTAGAAGGTCCACCCATGTTCATAAAAACCATAGCCGTTGGGCCTTTAGAGCCTGTCGCATCTTGCGTGACTGGCGGTACCACCGTCGCGAGGCCTCGTTGATTGCATCTCAATTGACTGCTAATTGCCGACCGACCTCCAAGAGATGTGGTCCCAACCAATAACTGTCGGGGGATCGCGAAAGGGCTGCGGAATGCCATGGTTGGGTCGAGGATATATTATATGTGGGAACAGACCAACAAAATAATATCAAGGTATTGATTAGAAAATGACAATTCCAACCTGTGTCCAACTTGGACCTCGGAAGTTGTTGAATCCGGTTTTGGTTGCCCCATGTAGCTTCCGCCGCCCACCGGAAGTGAACCAATCACCATCGGAGGATGTCAGCAGCTTCAGGCATCAGCGTCACCTGACTTTCGTGTTGCCCGCGTCAGAGGGCGCGTCTCGATGATATTTTGGACTTGATTAATTTACCACCTTTTAATATTTTCAATATTCCAAGGTGCCCCATTTCACAATAATGGCTGAAGATAGCTACGCGCGCGAGGAGGACAATTACGAAGATGAAGAGCTTGACGAGACCGTGAGTATAAAAAGCCGAAGATATAGTTACCGATTGTTGACTGTTGCCTACATAGAGTTTCAAATCAGTCAAAGATGCGGTGCTATTTGCCATAGACATTAGCAGTTCGATGCTCACGCCTCGTCCATCGCCTGATCCTAAGAAACATAGCGACGAATCACCCGCGTCGGCAGCTTTAAAGTGTGCATACCATCTGATGCAACAGCGCATCATCTCCAACCCTCATGACATGATTGGTGTTTTGCTTTATGGAACGCAATCGTCCAAATTCTATGATGAAAATGAGGATGACCGAGGGGATCTTTCATATCCTCACTGTTATCTGTACACTGATCTTGATGTTCCATCAGCACAGGAAGTCAAGCAACTGCGGTCCCTCGCGTCTCCAGCAGAAGCGGATGACGACGTGCAGGGGGTCTTGGAACCATCCAAGGAACCAGTCTCTATGGCGAATATGCTGTTCTGCGCAAACCAAATCTTTACCGCGAAGGCTCCAAACTTTTCATCTCGACGACTGTTTGTCGTGACCGACAACGATAATCCCCATGCAGACAATAAGGGAATGCGGTCTGCCGCAACAGTTCGTGCAAGGGACTTGTATGATCTTGGTGTCAACATAGAGTTATTTCCCATTTCTCAACCAGATCACGAATTTGACACCTCTAAATTCTACGATGTAGGTTATTAGCCTTGGTTGTATGGGAGTATACTCACACCTAGCAGGACATAATTTACAAAACATCACCAAGTGATGGAGATGCCCCGGCATACCTACAGCCGGACACCAACACATCGACAGCTAAAGGCGACGGACTCTCATTGCTCAATTCTCTCCTGTCTAGTATCAACTCGAGATCTGTCCCTCGCCGGTCACTATTTTCAAATGTGCCACTTGAGATCGGACCTGATTTCAAGATATCCGTCAATGGATACTTGCTCCTCAAAAAGCAAGAACCTGCCAGGAGTTGCTTCGTCTGGCAAGGAGGCGAGACTGCTCAGATTGCTGAAGGCGTCACAACCCTAATGTCCGATGATACAGGACAGGAGATTGAGAAGGCTGACATCCGAAAGGCATACAAATTTGGCGGTGAGCAGGTTTCATTTACCATCGAAGAACAACAGGCGCTAAGGAGCTTCGGCGACCCTGTGATCCGCATCATTGGGTTCAAGCCACTGTCAGCCCTCCCGATTTGGGCCAATGTCAAACACCCCTCTTTTATCTATCCCTCTGAAGAGAATTACATTGGCTCAACACGAGTCTTTTCTGCATTGCAGCAGAAACTCCTCGATTCCGAGAAACTAGCTTTAGTTTGGTTCATACCCCGCAAAAATGCCTCGCCAGTTTTAGCTGCGATGATTGCCGGGGCTGAGAAGATCGACGAGAATGGTGTGCAGAAAACCCCACCTGGGATGTGGATTATCCCTCTCCCTTTCGCGGATGATGTGCGCCAAAATCCAGAGAGCACTGTCAACCGGGCAGGAGACGCGCTGAATGACGCCATGCGAGATGTTGTTCGCCAGCTGCAACTTCCCAAGGCTGTATATGAGCCTTCAAAATACCCGAATCCTTGTGAGCCTTTATCACTACGGTTTGTTGAAAACGATACTGATTAATTTGCAGCGCTTCAATGGCATTACCGTATCTTGCAAGCTATCGCTTTGGATGAAGATTTCCCAGAATTACCAGATGACAAGACCGTGCCTAAGTACCGACAGATTCACAAGGTTAGCTACTTCTGATCCTAGAAATTGCGTGAATTTACTAACCACATGGATTCTCAACTACAGCGCGCTGGCGACTACATTCTTAAATGGGCTGAGGAACTGAAATTGCAAGCCTCCGAGATGTTTGGCAGTTCAGCAGCCACCTCTACGCTGGTAAAGCGAGGTGCCAAGACCGAGCCTACTAGTGAGCACCCAGCAAAGCGAGTGAAGGTTGAAGACAGCGCCTCTGGAGTGGAGGACGAAGTGAAGAAATGCTATGAGAAGGGCACTGTTTCCAAGGTGGGTATTCAAATTCTCGGCAGATAATTTACCAAACTAATACTCGCGTCTAGCTTACGGTGGTCGTGTTGAAGGAATTCTTGCATTCACACGGCCGCGCTACAGCAGGGAAGAAAGCAGATCTCGTAGACAGAGTTGAGCAGTACTTTGAGAAAAAGTTCTAAACGCTGATTGAATTTTGCTTGGGATCATCTTGGTGTGGGATCCGGTGTTGCTGAAAATTGAGGCCCCGATTAATGAGTTACGAGTGTATCCTACTTTCCTGTTTTACATACGGCCATAGTTATTTCGAATGAATCAATATTATTTACCTACGACGGTACAACATGCCTCTGGCAATCATTCAACTAGAGAAAAAAGCATAACCCTCTACCAAACAACCTTCCAAGGTTGCACCAATAGCTGACTAACTGCCGTTTGATGCCGAAAATGGATGTGGGGAAGTGGGGGAACCCCAAACTTGATCCTCGACAACGACTCGCAGATTGCTCTGGGAGAAAACAACACTGGCAAATAAAGTTGATATGGAAGCAAATATTTTCTTGGTGTATTTGTTTTCGTTGCACTAGGAGTCAATGTCTTTCCCCCTCTGATCCATGTCCTTATGTTGCGACAAAATCACCCCGCCGGTAACTTTCAAGACCATTTACTACAGAGAATATGGAGAAGGGACGGCCACGAGATGATCGAAAATGTCATACATGCAACAAGACATTTTCCAAAAAAAGAGCATCTCACTAGACATATTCGTGGTCACACCAAAGAAAGGCCATTTGCATGTCCTGTCTGTGGGAAACTATATTCGCGGAGGTACGAGATATTCCGAACAGTTGGTTTGTGCACTAACGTTGTTAGTGATGTCTTGCGTCGGCATGAGCGAAGCCATAGTGTTCAACTTGAGAGCTTGACCACTGTGTCCCCACAGGAATTCGCTGACGGTTCAACGATGCTCACACCCCCATCCGCAGCTGATTCGTTCAGGGCTTTCTCGGGGGGATCAGTAACTCATGTTTCCCCACAAGCGTCTGTAAACGTGGATATACCAAGCGTACCTCATACCAATACTATCGACTTTGGACAACCCACTGGATCTACACAAATTGATATAGGTGAAACAGCTCCCAGTTCAGGACCTGGAGCATGGTTCCTTGAAGATGATTTTGATGTTGGTGCTCTTGACTTCTCAATAACATCAACAATATCCGAATGGGCGCAAATCCCAAATGTGTTTCCCGCTGCAAATCTGTCTACGGGAGAACATGATGTTTTTACCCCCGTTCAAAGCTCTATCCCAGATATTGAAGCTCCAAGTATGGCTGGGGATACAGTCAAACGAAAATGGTTTACCCATATGTCACCATCTGACGAGAACCGACCCAACCGAGAATTTGCCCCCACGGGAACAAACTGGTCAGGACATACGAATGCGAATGAATCATACCGAGCTGGCCTATCTCAGAAGCTCCGTCGACCTATGGAAGATGAGGCATTACCATCCTCGGAACAACTGAACCTTTTTGCCAAATTATACTTCCACCGGTTTCATCCTTTATTGCCGGTCATACATGCTCCTTCTTTTCGACCAACGGCGGAAAATTCTCTATTATTCCTGTCGATTTGCTCCATTGGAAGCTTATTCGTCGGGTCTTCCCGCGCAGTAGCTCAAGGCTCACGCATATTTGAGCGACTGAACAAAGCCATTCTGGCATCATGGGAATCTTTCCTGTCAGAAAGCCGACCAGATGCCTTGTCTATGGTACAAGCTGCTATCTTGGGTCAAACCTATGCTATTCTGGCTGGAAAGCCCAAATACCTTGTTCTGGCAGATGTATTACACGGGACAGTTGCCTCATGGGCCCGTGAAGCAAATCGATTAGGTGCTCTTTGCAGCCAGTCACAAGATACGCTGAGCAGCGGAGATATTGAAAGAAGCTGGCATCGATGGATTGATAGTGAGCAACGCGCTAGGGTTCAAGCCGCACTGAATATACACGACGCCGAGCTTGCTGCTTTGTATCACCACGAGCCAATTCGCAATCATCGATTCCGTCAGTTTCCCCGCCTAGCATCCGATGAGTTGTTTTCGGCACCTACATCGTCTCAGTGGGCCGTACTTCTCCGCCAATCTCCCCAAACCCAGAGAGAAAATCGACCCCAAGCTCAACTTTCTCGGTCTCAGGATCCATTCCCAGTCACAGACTACGATTCCAGGTTCACTGCATATGGAATCCTTGAAGGAATCAGCGCTCGCCTCATAGATGCAAAGCAATCTCTAGAATTCAACCATCTAGTCTGCCAAGATACCTCAAACCTCTTGATCCAGTGGTGGGAGACATACCATACAACGGACCAAGATCCATTCTGTCTACCCGTATTATGGCATTCTATTTTCATATCCCTGTACGCAGACATGGACCTCCTGGAACAAGCAGTCGGCCGCGATGGACGAGCCCCAGCCCTGAAAGCATCAGCGCCAGCACGCGAATGGGCCTCTTCTCTGAATGCAAGCCGCTGCCTCGTGCACGCATCGCTGATTGCTCGGTATCTCGAGCGCATGAGCATATCCGCCGAGCCAGCAATACATGTACCCCGTGCCCTATTCTCGGCGGCATTAATATACTTGTGTGTTGCACAGTATGCGCCCAAACATTTCGTTAATGTGGGGGCATTCACGTCCCCAGAACTCAAGTTGCTGGGTGATGGGGCTGCGGAGGTTGCATGCTTTCCTGGGAATGTTCAGAGTGGCGAGCTTTCTGTGGGTACGGATTTGGATCAATTGTATGGCATGATTGACTTGCTACAGCGGGGTGGGCGTTGGGGGATTTCACAGGCTTTTGCCAATGTGCTTTCTACGGTGTTGGATGAAGGTAAGGGTGCTTATGGATAAATTGGTGTTTCTGTTATCTTGCTATTGTATACTCCTAGGCCTAGGGTGAACTATCAACCAATCAGTCGCGATATAATCAAACTATTTTGGGACTTTCAAATTACTAAATGCTTATATAGCAATGACTACTGATGCCCACATCTGATCGTCTCTCACCCCTCAACATCTTGCGGGGTGAAGCTCCACTATGTGGGACGCTTGTTCACCTATGTTGTACAAACTTGAGGCAGGTGATTGATACCTCACGAGTGATAATAACCTCTACCTGGGTAAAAGTTAAGCGGAATTCAGTATATTTCAGCTTTGGACATTAATTGCTAGTTTGTTTAATTTAATCTTGGTATTCGCCTTGTTGTTGGCTTTTTTCTTTCTTATGGCAGATATATCTAATATATATATCTGAACTCTCACCTTCTCATGCAGGCGAATCCTCAAGACATTACTGGAAACTGTCTGTTAATCTCGAGCCAATAATAATAAACGTAGTTGTTGCTAATCATCACAAATCGTGGGGGATGTACAGGTCCGCCCCCACATGAAGAGGATCGCGGGGGACTATAGCTCTACCCCGTAAAAACAGCCCAAATCAAGACTACATTATAAGTATAGCTAGTATTCTTTCGGGTAGAAATTATCAACTGCCCTGCTTCTATATTCATAAATGCAATGCCTGTCTTCACTGAACATTCCTCCTCATCCCGGGACCTGAGAGTCCTACCCTCATTTGCACCACGACTACCTCGACTAGCACCCCCATTCGAACGCAATGATAAAAACGAAGACAAATATGAAGCAGTCGTGGTCGGCGTATGTGCTGCCCAACAATGCCCTGAATCTCAACATTCAAACGAAAAAGAAAACCCTAATATAAACATCTAGGCCGGACCAGCTGGCCTAATGCTAAGCCTCCTCCTCTCTCGCTATGGTCTCAGCGATACATCCCTCCTCTGCATCGACGCAAAGCCAAGCACCCTGAAATCCGGGCAAGCAGATGGTGTGCAACCCCGCACACTGGAGGTCTTCAAATCACTCGGTATCTCAACTGAGATCGAGAACGAAGCGTGTCAGATGTGGCAATTCGCATTCTGGAATCCGTCGTCGGATCCAAAGAAGGTAATTGAGCGCACTTCCGTCGTCCCGGACGTTATTCCTCCAGCGCGGTTCCGCTACGAGGCTACCATCCACCAGGGCCGCATCGAGCGTATCATGGAAACTGATTTGCTGCGGTACTCCGAGCGCGGAATTGTGCGGAATACTAAACTTGTTGATGTCAAGATTGACGAAGAGGGTGATGCGGAGTTCCCCGTGCTTGTGACTATGGCTACGAATGGCGTTAAGAAGACTGTGCGCACGAAGCATCTTGTTGGTGCGGATGGGGCACATTCGGTTGTTCGGCAGTGTATGGGTCTGCGGTTGGAAGGAGAATCTTTGGATCATATTTGGGGTGTTGTCGATATGGTTGCTGAGACGGATTTCCCGGATATTCGTCGCCGTTGCGGAATTCATTCTCCTGCTGGTTCTGTGATGATTATTCCCAGAGAGAGGATCTCCACGGGTGAATACCTCACTCGGCTGTATGTTCAGGTTCCGGAGGATGTGGCCCCTGAGAGTGATCAGACGCCAAATGGAGTAGAGGGTGTTAAGGCCGAGGATGCTCGACAGCGAAGAAGTAAGATTACTCTCGAGGGCATTCTGAAACAGGCTGCCGATGCGATCAAGCCGTACTCTCTTCGGCCCAAGGAGAATGCTGTTGACTGGTGGGCTGCGTATCAAATTGGCCAGCGTGTCTCGCCTGAGTTTATCGTGAATGATTCAAAGGGTATTGCAAGGGTTTTCATTGCTGGAGACGGTGAGTTGGCTTTGAAGAGTGTGTATGGCCTCAAACTAACATAAGATCATATTTATAGCCTGTCATACACATAGCCCCAAAGTAAGTCTCCACAATTCCTCCTCCCTCGAGGATATCACTAACTTCCATTCCATCAGGCTGGCCAAGGCATGAATGTCTCAATGATGGACTCTTACAACCTAGCCTGGAAACTCACGTATCATATTAACGGGCTGGCACCAGAACCTACAAGCCCCGACAACCCAGCCTCATTACTCGAGACATACCAGACAGAACGCCACGAAATAGCCCAACAGCTCATCGACTTCGACCGGAAGTTCTCTTCCATGTTCTCCGGACAAATGGGCGCAACTGAAGGTCTGACACAAGAAGAGTTCCAACAGGCCTTCAAGCTCGGTAATGGATTTACCAGCGGCTGTGGCGTGGAATACCCGGAGAACATGCTAGTTATCCGAGATGAGCTAGACGTTGATATCAAGAGCAAAGGCCCAAACCCCATCACAGGAACGGACTACATATCTGGAATCCTGAGACCGGGCCGGAGATTGCTCAATGTGCGATTGCTGCGGCATGCTGATGGGTGGCAGCGGGATATTCATGACGGTATGTCAAGCCAGATGGAAACTTTGTGTGGGAATATCATATCTGACCCAGACCCCACAGATATCCCCTCCACTGGCCGATTCCGCATCTTATGTCTCACGTCGACCGATCTTCTTGATCGAAGTAGTATCTCTGTGCAGACGCTGGAAGAGGTCACTCTGCTAGAAGCGCAGTTCCCCAAGTCGGTTATTGAGCAGATCATACTGCATCCCCAGTTGCATCGGTCCTTTGAATGGAATGACGTGCCGATGTGCGTGAAGCAGCAGGCTGAGATGCGCTTTTATGATGGGTCGGCTTTAGATGATGCTTATAGTATCTATGGTGTAGACCCGGTACAGGGCGCATTGGTGGTGGTCAGACCCGATGGGTATGTTGGCGTCGTTGCTTGCCTTGGTGATGTGCAGAAGGTGGATAGGTATCTGAAGCAGTGCATTCGGACTGTCGCTAGTAACTCGTAACTAGTAGCTGAGTTGGGATTGTCGGCTTGCTGATTAGGTAGGATTAGATATTGAGGTTGAATGATAAGATATCTTGGCCAGCTGAAGGCTATTAGAGCATATAGTCATTTTGATAGTGGCGGTCAAACATGTAAAAATGTGAATGGTATGAGTTGTATGAATGGTATGAGTTGTATGAGAAGTGAAAAGACAATGGTAAGAATATGTATACATTTCATGTACTCTGATTGTCCAGAAGTCCATCAATAAAAGTGATGGAGTATGTCCGTGAGGAACTTTGCCCTCGGCGCTTGAACGCAATTATAATTTATAAGAAAAAAAGAAGGTCCCCTGAGAACTCCAAGTTCTATGCGACAAAACGGGTCACCGAGTGAACGTTTGTACTGGCTGAAAATCATTTGCACATAATGACGAAAAATGGTGTGTGCTGAAAGGAGGCGAAAATGTAACGTTGGGAGTTGTCGCTGGATTTGGGAGAGAATGCTTAAGCCGAGAGGGAAATTCAACACTGTCCGTAGACTTGACAATAACACATTTGTTCATCGGGACAACTGCGAAAGACGGTTAGCTCAACATTACAGCAAACGTGATCGACGATAACTTACTATACTCCTTCCATCCCAAAAATGATATGCCACAAGAACTCCATCACCCTCCCGGACGAAGCATCGCTAAGTTCTGTATCGATAATCCATTGCCGGAACTTAATATAATCCTCCAGTGGTCGCTTCTGAATCTGATCTCGCGAGAGCGCGAATTGTGCGCAGCATGCGGCGCCAATCTCGGCAGGCTTGCGAAGATATCTCTGACCCGCGAATTCCTGCTCCGTGGACGAGGAAGTATTCAAAGGAGGCGTACTCGTGCCGGCGAAGACATCCGACCAGATCTGCTCGGTGACATGGGTATTGGAGCGGTGGGCGTTCTTGCAGCCGGGGTTCCAATTGCAGCGAAGATTCACGTAGCCGTTCTGTTGGACGAAATCGAGTTTTAGATTGCGCATAGCGATGACATTGTCGTGGAGTGGGGCATCGACGTGCCAGGCCATGAGGAAGCCTGCACGGTGGGCGTGGAGAAAGACTATGGTGGAGGGAAGGGTGTGATAGAAATCGATTATATAGGTGAAGTAGGCCATGGCTTCGTGGCCTTTGTTGAACGGGGTCGTCAGAACGTTGGGGTTTAGTCGTGTTTCGTGCGAGGGGTTGACAATGTAGATTGCCCGTTGCCAGCTATTTGGAGAGAAAGTAAGTCAATTAGCCGTGGATCTTCGGCGAAGTGTTGGATATCAAAAGCACTCACTCGGGAAGCTCTTCTTCTACCCATTCGGTATGCTCTTCTTCTAGCTTCGCCATAACAACCACCTTATCACCCGGCGTGGTGTCACCATGTGGGCTGGAAGTTGTGCCATTGCGATCTAGCCAATTAACCACGTATGCGCCAGCGCGATATTGATTGCAAATGTCTTGAAGATGCGCTTCGAGTAGATATAGCGAGAATAGGACGAGACACGAGACGCAGAATCCCGCGATACGGAGTCCGCCTTTCATTATGAATGATGAATGATAGGGATCAAACTCCGGGGACTCTGCGGAGATGTACCCGTAGCTGTAAAATGAAAGTAGAGCGGATTGACTAATAAGCCATTGATATATACTGCTTCCAATGTATAATAGGGATGGGAAAAAGGAGGGTAAATCCCAAAGCAAGGCCCCTGAAAGCAAATTCAAAGAGGCAAAACGATATAAAAGGAAGGTGCGGTGTCAAAGTAATAAAGGAGCGAGGGGGCCGAGGTAGTAAGGATTTAAAGAGCAAGAGTACCCCGTACAAAAGTGGAAAGTGGAAAGGAAGGAATTAGAGTGAAATTGAAAAGAGGGGAGCTTCCTGGACTTGACCCCCGTTTATTTTCCCACAATGTCATGGTCATATCATTGGCCACTACTCAGGGGAGCCGCCCTTAGTTTGATGCCAAGGGGGGTTTGGGTTTTTGGGGGTTTTTTGAATTTTTGGTTTTTGGTACTCTGTACGGAGTATTCCGTATTTTGATGTGGTTTTATTTGGTTTTATTTGATTTGATTTGATTTGATTTAATTTGA